TTGTAAACAGCTAACTATATGTAGCTCATGAGTGTCTTTAATATATATCGGGCAAAACAGCTTTCTTCTCTCAATTCAAAGTTCAATTGAAATTCCTCTTGCATGCAGGCCCTATTCAAACCTTTCGGGGCTATCTAGTACCCCGATTATTTTGTAAACAGCTGGGAAACACAAGTTGAAGCTCCTTGGTTGAAGACCAGAAAACTGCACCGCTCAAAAGCGCCATCTGGCGGACTGTTGTGTCACTGTCACCAACTAATAAAATTGAAAGATGAAAAAGGAAGCATTGGTATTCTGAAGTTTGCATTAAGGAAGGAAGGGATTAGATGTGGAAAAAAATCTATGTGAAGCAGCAAGTAGAATTAAATCTCATTAGGAAATGCAACTTTAAGATTTCTTTACTTTTGAAACTTTTTTTACTTCCTGATCAGTAACTGTCCAGACCATCCTAGGACAGATAATTAGCAGGTGTGCATGTTAGTCCTGAAGATTGATGGTATACTTGCTATTTTTGTTTTCCATTAAATGAATGCCTTGACTGAGCAAAATTCTATCCATTCTTTTAGTATATCAATCAAAATTAATGGTATAACCTAAGATTAAAATATAACGTTAAGTAAGAACACTTCTGTTTGTTGCATGCTCCCTGCAGGAGTTGGCAGGAAAGGCTGACATGTGTAAAGGCTGTCCTGGACAGGCACTCTGCAGGCAACAAGGTGAGTACAATTGTACATTGGGGGTGAATTTTACTTGATGTTCAATTCAATATCTATTTTTCCTCTTTTGTCTAACCTGATCAAGTTTAGTTACTTTGAGGTGTTATTAAGATTTCCCAAAATACCATCTTGAAGTTGTATTCATCATTTTGCTTGATGTAACGATACAGTGTTTTTAACTGTGTTCCCAGGTGGGCGGGATCCAGACCAGGAATTACTAGACACCAGGATGAGAGCCGTCAAACACAAGATTCTCATTCTGTCAGGAAAAGGAGGTACAAAAGTTTGGCTTCAGACTTTTATTAGATTTTCTGTGGTGAAACTATAGTCAGTGCTGCTGCATGTAGCCCTCTAGTTTAACTCAAGCCATACGTAATCAGTTTGTAACCATACATGTACATGTAGTGTGAAAGTTGATGTAAATTGTAAAAGGTTGAATTTTCATCCATACAGGTGTGGGGAAGTCCAGTGTAGCAGCCTGTTTAAGCATGGCGCTGGCAGAACTCTCACAGAAGGTAAAATTAAACTTTACTCAGTCTGGTAACAATTACTCCATATTGCTACCCACCAGCTTTTTTCTCTCACCAAGTTAAACTATGGAAACAAAAACTGGAATATATATAATAAAACCCTGACTTTCCAAATGTGTTAGATTTTTGTAATCAGCTGCTGACATGTTGAGAGACAGAACTGTGCCAGGACCCAAGAGGCCGGGTGTTTTGGGTTAGGGAATGTTCTGTTTACTTTCTGTTTACTTTAGGTACAGTTAAGTTGGATGTGTTGACATGGTGTCCCTGAAAAGGTTCAATGAAGGCCCAATGATGGAAACAAATGGGTTGAAAATGTTGTTTTATACATCTCCAGCAGCTAATGGCAAATAGAACTGTCTGGAGAAAGAGAGTCAACTGAATCCAGGCAAGACGTCCGACATGATGATGATTATAGTTTTATACAATTGTGCGTTTCTTCAAGGTTTTATTTTTGTTGATATTGATGTTTATCATTTATTATTTAGGTAGGAGTGGTAGACCTGGACATCTGTGGGCCTGTTGTTGTTGTTTATTGTTGTTTATTGTTTGTTGTTTAGGTAGGAGTGGTAGACCTGGACATCTGTGGGCCCAGCATCCCCAAACTGCTGGCAGTCGAGGGGAGAGAAGTCGTCAACTCCCAGTGGGGGTGGAAACCTCTGATGTAAGAGCCTGCACACTTGCTGTCCTTTTGTGTTACATTACTATAACTGATTGCTGCATAATCTTCAAGCAGATCCTATGGTGGCAAGGCAGTAACTATTGGCCAGAGGTGGCTAGTGGACAGGTGCTTTATCCAGAAACATGCTCAGGCACGGTTCTGGACAGTCCACATGTATCCAGATCCGTGCCTGGGGCAAATCTACAATCTTGGATACACGTAGTATACACGTAGGTATAGATCTAGATAGGCACAGGTCCAGACTTGCCTGTATTAATTCTCAGTGCTGAAAGCCGACGAGCAGAATGCCAAATTCACTGATCATGAAGAATCTATATCTTACACAGAGGCTAACCTTAGTTGCTGGTTCCTGGTCTAAACCTTGGCCTGAAGTGAAATACACAGTTTTCAGAGATTATATTAGGCACAACGGTATAGAGAAAACCTTCCAAACCTGCCCAACTGTCAGGACTTTTCCTGGTTTAAAACTTGGCCTGAAATGAAATCTCTTGAATTAAGAAAGTTCTGTAGAGAAGACCTGCCCAGACTAGACAGACTGGACAGTTGCCAACAGTTTGGGGCTTTTTCTGGTTTAAAACTTGGCCTGAAAAGGAATACACAGATTTTAGAGATTAGGTCTATAGAGAAAACCTGCCAAACCTGTCCAGACTAGGACCTTAACAGTTGGGGGTTTTCCAGGTCTAAGACCTGGCCTAACACCAAATCTCCTGATTTAAGAGATTGGCTGTATAAGAGAACTCTACTTGCAAAACCTGCCCAGGCTCCAACACTTACAGTTGTAGGGTTTTCCTTGGCCTGAAATGAAATCTGCATTAAGAGTTTGTCCAGAAGACTTAGCAAACCAGTGTCAGGGGTTTTCCTGGTTTAAACCTTGGCCTGACATCAAATACACAAATTTCAGAGATTAGTTCTATAGAAAACTCTTACCAAACCTGCTCAGACTAGTCCAGACGTGTCCAACAGTTGTGGGGTTTTCCTTGGCCTTAGTTGAAACCTGCAGATTTAAGAGTCTGTCAAGAAGACTCTGGCCAACTGTTGGGGTTTTTCTGGTTAAACCTTGGCCTGATACAAAGATTTTAGAGATTAGGTCTACAGAAAAGACTTGCCAAACTTGCCCAGACTGGACCGTTTCCAACAGTTGAGGGATTTCCAAGTTTAAAGCCTGGCCTGACATCAGATCTCCTGATTTAAGAGATTGGCTCTATAAGAGAACTCTTGTAAAACCTGCCTAGACTCCCAACAGTTGTGGGGTTTTCCTTGGCCTGAAATGAAATCTTCAGATTCAAGAGTTTGTTGAAAAAACTTTGCAAACCTATCAGGGGTTTTCTTTGTCGAAACCTTGGCCTGAAATGAAACACATAGACTTCAGAGATTAGCTCTATGGGGAAACCTGCCTAGACTGGACTGTGTCCAACATTTGTTGGGGTTTTCCTGGTCTAAAACCTTGGCCTGAAATGAAAACTTCAGATTTAAGAGTCTGTCAAGAAGTCTTGCCAAACCTGTCCAGACTGAAACCTTGGCCTGACATCAAATACACAGATTTTAGAGATTGGCTCTATAGAGAAAATCTGCCAAACCCGCCCAGACTGGACTGTATCCAGCAGTTGTGGGGTTTTCCTTGGCCTTAGATGTCAAGAAGACTTGCCAAACTATGTCCAACAGGTTTAAACCTTGGCCTGACATCAGAATCTTCTGATTTAAGAGATTAGTTCTATGGAGAACACTTGTCTACCCTGGCAAAGATGTTACAGTAGAGATTCATGATTCTTCCTGCCAGAATCCAAACCTAGTTCGCTCTCAGTTAGTTATCTCAATAAATTAAGAAAATTCAAGTTTATTTATTTTACCAGTCTGAGAATATAAAAAACAACTACAACACAGGTTCCATAAAAAGTTGCCCCATCTTCCAACATGCCTAATTCTAGTGAGATTCTATACAGCCACAGGATTGAAACAGCTCCAATACTTAACAAACCTGATCCCAGGATGTTTTGTCCTTTGAAAGTGTGAAGGGTTAAGTCTGTGTAAGCAGGGCAGGGATTCAGATAAGTCAGAACTCAGTCTGTGTTTGTAAATGACTAAAGAAGCTCAAAGTGTGGGATTAGACCAGTTTCTTATCCTGCTTTCCGATCAACTCTGTATCTGGGTCTACTGGTAAATGTGGCTCAGGAAAAGTGTGGACAATTCTAGATACATGTATTATGCATTCGTTGTGAAAGGAAATGTTTGGTGCTGACAAGAAAACATCACATTTGATACAGAGAAGACGTGTGCCTGTTTAGCAGAATGTTGACATTTGGTGTCAGAGGTTATCATTGTTTAGAATTCCAAAATGCATCTGCTCTTTTTTACCTTCTCAGAGTCAGAAGGAAAATGTATTGTTTTTGCTCTGTTTCTTCTTCCTCTTCATCTACAAACAAATCAGTCACCATGGTAACAAGGGTTACATCATGTTGCAATTTTATAGCAGGAGGGATTTAGACTCCTGTCACCATATATGTGAATGTGTTGGAGCAGACCATAAGCGAAGGTAAACATTATCCATTTGCTGTGCAAATATTAGTTTTTTAATGAGATAATATTATAATTTTTTCACAGCTTGCCCCACCATGGTGTAAAAGTGATGTCCGTACTCCCTTAGCAGGCCGAAGGTTAATGATCTGATGTTGTGTTTTCCAGCTCGCCCCACCATGGTGTAAAGGTGATGTCTGTAGGCTCCCTGCTAGAGCAGTCAGACAACGCAGTTATCTGGAGAGGACCCAGGAAAACAGGTCTGGTCCTAATGCACCTAATATGGATTCTTCAATTATTAGTATGAGCATGATAACTGAGAAGAAATATGTAAGCTCAGGATTTATGAACATTTTGCAGATCACTCATGTTTCAGGAGGATATTAACTATGGAGTCATTCCTGAGATATCTGCCATTCCAACTGCTAACATTACATGTTACTGTGCAGATGGGCGCAGATGCCGGATGGAAAGTTTTCTGACAGTCTTGGTAAAGGGCTGATAGTACCCATACATTTGTATGTGAATATTAGACCAAATGAATAAAGAAAAAAAAACTGTCAACAAAAAAAATCCTGCCGTTTTCTTCCCTTCCAGCGCTGATTCGACGCTTCCTTAAAGACACATTCTGGGGCCGTCTGGACGTCCTGATCTGTGGTGAGAACTTTAAGAACTTTCTTTGCTTGTTCCCCGAGAGTCCTGGTCATTAAACATGCCGATTCACAAAAACGTTATCCACACAGCATACATGTAGCTAGGTTAAAGTGGACTTCAAGGTCTCTGTGCCATTTTCCAGCAGTCCCTTCATCTGTAGCACAACTGTTTCCTCTGCACTGAACTGATACTATTTAACTTGGCATGTGGCCTTCAATTGAGATTCCCATTAAACATACATTTGTCCTACAAGCTAATAGACTCACAGATACCACAGATGTCGTCCTACACCAAATGTTTATCTGATCCTACACCAAACGCTAAGACTCAGTGATAACATGCAATTCACTTGGTATGAATTAGCCAGGAGTATATGTTACCATTCAATCCTGAACTACCAGCATGTAGCCTTGGGCATGGTGTGGCTTACTGGGGCAGTAGTCTCCACCAGACTCCATTGCAGGCTGAATAAATAAAAGAAATCGGCCTAAAAGAGGAATTTAATTGTCCAGAGGAGTTGGCTAGCCAGAGACTGAGAGGGTCCATTTGCCTGGCCGGCCAACTCCTCTGGCCAATTAAATCCCGTTTTTAGGCCGATTATATTACTTCTATGAGGGCCTGCAAAGGGGGGGGGTCCCGACAACGCTCTACGCTGAATTCGGAAACCTCTCGATTACGCTTTACGATAAATTCCAAGTGGCTACAGCGCATTACGCAGAATTAAAACGCCAAATACGCTCTACGCAAAAATATTAGAGCGGTCCGTCTACGCTCTACGTAGAATTAAAATGGCCGATTACGCTCTACGGAAAAGGGCTTGCGGGCCCCCTTCTCTTAATTCAGCCTGCAAAGTAGTCTGTTGGAGACTACTGGGGCAGTGGGGCAGCCGAGAATCTACCAGGAGTGAACATCTGGGCTATGTGCCATGTCAACACTCACAGTCTGGCTTATCACTGGAAATCGTATCTGCTCCTGCTAATTAAAGCACTCTGCAGGACAGACAGGTGTCTCACAGGCCTGGTGGCTTTTCCCACTTAAAATTAAACTTTGAAGTAAAACAAACTAGAAAGATAACATTTGTAAAGTAAATGCTTAAATGTTTACCGCCGCATATCGTCTGCTCTGTTAATTCTTACTCAAAACACATTTCATATACACATATGGAGTATAAATCCCTCCTGGTATAAAATTGCAACATTATGTAACCCAACACTAGTTACTATGGTGAAAGACAGTCTGGTTCAGGTCATTGACCTTACTTGTTTGGAGAAAAAGAAACAGAGCAAAAACAATATTTTCCTTCTGTGAACTTCAAGGTAAACAAATATTTTGAAAACTTTTATCCTGACTCAGACACTCTACCTAGCACCACCTGACTTTGTTTGTCCCTCAGACACTCCGCCCGGTACGAGCGATGAACACCTGACGGTCGTCAAGGCGATGAAGAGTGCCGACCCTGACGGAGCCGTCATAGTGACAACGCCCCAGGAGGTTGCCATAGCAACCATCCGTAAGGAGCTGAACTTCTGCCGGAAGCTGGGCGTGAGAGTCATCGGGGTTGTGGAGAACATGAGCGGATTTGTCTGCCCCTGCTGTCAGGTATCTATGACGAGGGCCTGCAAGGGGGGTCCCGACAACGCTCTACGCTGAATTTGGAAACCTCTCGATTATGCTTTACGATAAATTCTAAGTGGCTACAACGCATTACGTAGAATTAAAACGGCGAATACGCTCTACCCAAAATGCGAAGAGCGGTCTGTCTATGCTCTACGTAGAATTAAAACGGCCGATTACGCTCTACGGAAAAGGGCTTGCGGGCCCCCAAGTATATCTACCTAATAGATATGCATTACTACTAATACTAGGCAAAGCCCGCTATGGGGTATCAACCATGGTGCAAGGCTAGTACGGCCGGTGGGGTGATATGAAAAAAAAAAAAAAAGTTTCTGACAAAACAAAACAAACACATTTAGCACACTGGTGAGTGCCCACACTAGTATATCCTGACTTACATCCGTGTGTCAGGGTGGCCCATGTACTGGGCCAACCCCAACTTGAAGATGTTGACTGCAGGTTGTGTTTCAAGTTACATATACTAACTAAAGTAATGTTATCCCATATGCACTCTCTCCAAGCAGAAGTTTAGGCGTTGGCTGATTTCTTATGTTTTTATTTGGCTTTTTCATCAGGCAATTTGAAACTGTCTTCTTTGAGTCACCAAAAGATCTGCTTGGAGATTAATGTTTTACTCCCTAATAGTTCTACTAACAGCAATATTGATAGGGATCTTTGCATTTGGGAAATGTCTGCCCATCAAGTATCTTTGTACAGTAACATTTCACATGTCAGCTGAAAGGGCAAGCTTCCCTCAGATGTGTTCCACAACAGGACCAGATTTGTGCCTGCAGACTTTATTGGATTCTCTGGATTCCCCGTGTCTTTCCTAATTAAAAGTGATCAGCGATAGTGATTGGTTTGGAGTCACACCCTTCAGCTTCCCTTACAGGCTCCTGAGTAAAAGACCCAGACAACTGTCTGTACATTTCTGGCTTGTCAAGGGTTTCACAGAAGTCTGTAACAACCTTATGCATTCAAGAAAACTGACACTGACAAAAAGTAGTAGACGCTCAGGGTACTCACTCATTCTAGGTACTCCCCTCCCCAAATCCAATGATGAATCTGGGTTCACTCACTCACTATCCATTTCACGTCTCGTGGTCAGACCGTCCTGTGTGCCCTCTTGGACACTACTTGAAACCTGACAGCTCTCAAAATCTATCCAGCTGCTTGAGTATTTTCTTTTTTCTTGTGTTCTTATGTTACCTTGAGGAATCTTATATACATGTATCATTATGTCGTTTTCCAGGAGAGGACTGACATATTTTCCAGTGGAGCTGGGGAGAGGCTGGCTGGAGAGTACGGCGTCCCTTTCCTGGGGAGAATACCCATAGTCCAGGTATGCAAAGGCTTGCCCGATTAATTTTGACACTATCGGTAGCTAGTAATCGAAAATGTAGTACATGTATGATAATTTACTGGAATTAGCCTGACACCTTCTTGAAAAAAATCTGAAAATAGTTGTAATATTGGTGTTCAGAAACCTTGAAATTCCTAGAATCCAACAGATTTGCAACTCTGTTCACTCTGGCCTGTACAGGATTGTACCTCCACCCAAACCTATCATCTCTGAGTCCCCCTGGCTTGTGTCCTGATCTACCACCTGTCTCCCCCAGCTATCCTTATCTGCTAGTGATCGGTATGGGTACATGGTACATGTTACAATCCTGTACAGCCCAGAGTGAACAGGCTTCCAAATCTTCAGAATTCTAGAAATTACAAGGTTTTAGAATCACATGTACCCATACCGATCATCACTCTGACCTGTAGGTGATTCCACGTCCCCCTGTCATACCTGTCCCCCTGGCTTGTGTCCTGAGCTGACACCTGTCATACCTGAGTGTCACCCCTGTGTCATACTTGTCATTACATGTATCATGTACCTATCCTGATCACTAACTGTATGTGATTCCACATCCACCCAAGCCTGGTTACCAGACCTATTATAGCTTCCGAGTCCTTCATTTGCGGAGAGGATGTAGAACTCAAGAGCCATAATAGGTCTGGTAACCAGGCTACATCCACCCATGTTACTGTCCCCCTGGTTTGTGTCCTGCAGCTGTCTTTATCTCCCGTCCATCACAGCTGATCCAGCTAATCTGCTGACTCCTGCTTGGAATTAACTAATTAATTTGCTGACTCCTGCTTGGGATTAGTTAATCTCCTGACTGACAGGGTCCATTAGCACTGATCTCTCCCTGACTTCTGCACCCTCAAAATCAAGTAAAGGTTCATGTTAGACCAGATAGTACGAGAATTGTAAAGCCTGACAAATAAACTGACAAACTAAAAATATATAAGACCAGCTTGGATGGGCATTTGTCTGATCTCTTGCACAAGGCTTCCTGCACATGTCTGTCTGATATCTGTCTTTCCTTAGGTTTACAAATCCTGGGTGATTGCTTATCATGTGCATCAAATGAACCTAAATATACATGTAGTCATGGAGAATTTAATTTATAGTACAACTTTCTGTCAGAATATAGCCTTTTAAAAACCCAATGTATGATTATGATTTTTTATACATTAACTATTTTGTGATACCAGCTCAACAAATTGTGGAAATGGAGGATTAATCAGATATCTTCAGAGTGTATGGTGTAATGGTTAGAAGGGTCAGACCATTACTTCGGCACTAGATAATGAGCCTCAGATTTATGGCATTTGCCCCATGGGTGAAACCTGATGGCTTCCACATGGGACTGTCCTGCCTGAGGTGATGTCTCTTCCCTCTCCTAACCAGTAACATCTATCTTTAGTTATCTGAGATATGTCTGCAGATTTCCCTACTCTAACCAGTACATGTCCTGCCTGAGGTGAAGCATCTTCTCTCCCCTAACCAGGAACATCTATCTTAGTTATCTATCTCTGCTGATGTGCAGTTTCCCTACCTCTACGGCCTAGAAAAAAATGTTGTGTTTCCTGACCAACCGTTAAAAAACTGCTGACACTAGCCTTTTTTTGTGTGGATCCCAGCTACAATGGACATGAATTTTTCAAGCTGACTGACCTTTCGTAGCTCCAATTTGATCTGACAACTGAATGACATTGAAAATCCTAATGGAAGTTTTACTGTGTTAAACTGTATAACTTGGATCACTAAAGATTGCCAAAGTCTAATAAAAAAAGGACAAAAAAAAGATAGTCCCTACCAACCCTGAATTTTTCAGGACTTTTTTTTCCTATACCTAAAGGGGACATCTCTCCCCTCCCCTAACCTGTCACATCTATCTTTGTTATCTGTGGTTTACATTCCGCAGGTGGTTTTACTTTCTAACACTAAGCTGATAAATCCAGGTTTGTCAGACAAATTTAAGGGCTTGAGAAAACTGGGGTGTGGATTTGGACAAATCTGAGGGATTAAGAAAGTTGGGATGTGGATTTGTGGGACAAATTTTAAGGGATTAAGGAAACAATTTCTGATAGCCGTGCATGTTGTGTGTGTGGGGGGGGGAGGAGATCTTTCATCAACTCACTGAACGAATGTAGATCAATGTACATGTAGGGGAGTTGGATCACATTGACTTTAGACCATGTTTAATCTTTTATACATAAAGTCTTCAATCTTGCTAGAACAACACAATGCACATTTTCGTCTGAGTTGCCCCAACGGCTGACTAAGCTACATGTATAGGAAAGTGAGTGAGTTTGTGAGTGAGTGAGTGATTTATTGATCGATTGATTGATTCATTGTTGTATTGTTACAGCACCTGACCCAGTGTTGTGAGGAGGGCAGGAGTATTTTCCAGTCCCACCCAGAGTCTCCTGCAGCCTCAGCCCTGATGCAGCTCGCACAGAGGGTCATGGAGGAAGTAACAAGACAACAGACAGGCAAATGACCCAGATATTTCCTTTATTAGCATGGACATTCATTGGATTAGGTACACGTAAATACATTATGAGAATTGCTGAAGAGGTTCATCAGTCACATATAGATTTAAAAGTTAGTAGTTATTCATTAATCGGTGACCCTTTTGAAAGGTAGAGAACACTTGTCAACATTTGAGAACACAAAGACTATGTTGAGACTTAGACTTAGGTTGAGACTTATACAGGTCTTATGACTAGCACCATAACTAGTACAAATTTGATGCCAACATCTACCTCAGCATGCTGAAGCTATGATTAATTGATATGTATGTCAAACAAAATATTCTTTTGTGAAATGCAAATAATTAAGGTAATTTCTAATGATCTTGAAAGAAATACATTCCATTTGATTAAACTAGTAAATATGATTCGCCACATTATCAGAAGCATATTTATATTTTTGTACCATATCCAAGCAAATAAGACTAAATAAAATGAGACGAAATCACAATCAACATGAGCCTTTTATTTCACAACCTATATAAACATACATCAACGTTAACAGATTTACTGTGATATTATAGATTCTTCATTGTCACAACAAAAAGTACAGGGACGTTTGTATGGTCTTCTGCATCTAAAGATCTAACAAAGGTAAATATTATGTATGAATACAAGTCATCCTACGTACAGAATACATGTATGCAGCAAACTACGTTAAGAGTGTATGAAACAAAGATTTAACTATTCTCAAACATGTACTGAAACAGGAATTTCCGGAGACAAACTTGGTACAAGCCCCGGCACCGCGTCAAGGTGTTGCCTCCATTGCCGAGGTAACTTGGGACGCCATCCTGACAACAACCACTCACAGTCCCAAAAAAACTACAACAAAGCAAATAGTTTCACTCAGCTCACAGTAGTTTGTAAAAAAAAAAAATGACGTCAGGTGTTTTTGCGAAAGTGAACAACCAGAAGTGACAACGGCAAAGTTATTTGTGCGCTGTCTTGCTAAGTTTTTTAAAGTTTACATCCCTGACTATCCTATATTTATAATTATTTAAGTCCTACTCTAAGCATCTACGATTTGTTTGTTTGTTTGTTTGTTTGTTATACATCTAGACTGTCTATTGAAGTCTTATTAACCCTTGTCCTGCTGTGCGCAACATATGTCGCGCGGCACATACAGTACCATCTATATTACACCCTGTATAGGTACGATTTGGGGGTGTTTCTCGTGCAATGCATCACACCGCAGCGAAACGCAACGAATGCGGAAGTAACTATGCCACTGCAGGGCAAAAAAATTTGGAGGTCTATGATCTAATTAAGACATGAAATTATTGAAAAATATTGTGCCAGGAATGCCAGCAGGACAAGGGTTAAGCCTCGTTCTTTCTTAGCTGTTCACAATGTCTCCAAACTGAATAGTATGTTTCTTTGCTACCAATGTGAGCTGAGTGAATTCCATATGAACTTTCATACAAAGGCAAATATACTGGGACTATCAGAAGCAGTGTCAGGATGAGTGTCGGTTGGCCAATAGCTGTGTGCCAATTTTTTAAATATTTTTTTATTCACATATATTTACTGAGTTTTGGGCAAAAAGCACAAGTTGCTTACTGTATATATTACACCTTTTATTCAAAACATACAACGAGAGTAAAACACACTGACAAAATACATGCATAATTACAAGGTGGGTAAAACCAACATAAATACAAACAAGTTGGTGATCTATCAATTACGAGAATCTACCCATACAGTAAATGAAGTTTTGAACTGCATCAAAAACATTACAGTTTTGTAGGTGTGAAAGTGTGCCAAATTCCCATGTCTAAAAAGAAGTGCCCGGTGTGGAACCAAATCCTTGAGCTGCCAAATACGTGAGAGGTCAGGTGTTTGGGGTTAGGGTTAGAGTGAGGGTTAGGGTTAGGGTTGGTATTAGAGTTAGCTATATATATATGGTAACCGTTGGTGTTAGGGTTGGGGTTGGTAATATAGTTAGAGTTAGGGTTGGGATCATTGTTCAAGGCTAGGGTTAGACTTACGATTAGTGTTAGTTTAGGGTTAATGTTGAGTCGTGTATTTGGCAGGATCAGGTATATGGCTTGACACCGGGAACAAATCATTTCAACATACACTCCTTGTCTGTCTACTAACCCACCCAAACTGTCAACTACACTGTCTTTGTTGACAAACAGAAAACTTAAAACATCTTTATATAAACAGTATCATTCAATGGATAACACTTTCAACAGGGAAAATCTGTTTCCTGTTGGTCCTAATGTTAACCAGTGATCTTCATCCTGCAAAATACGAAAACAACAAAACACCAAGATCAAGTGCATCTACAAATGAGTAAACTCATACCAAGCCTGACACGATCAAACATTAACCAAACATTTTTATCAATAACTATCCATTCTTTAGCTCATGACAAATATCATCACCAATTCCATCACCATACAAGCTTTCATCAAATATTAAAGACATCTGCAGCAGAAGTTACAAAAGGATACACCCCAGCAGGACCAGCTGTCCCTGTGACGGGATCTTGACGCCTTCCTGAAACCCAGACTGGATCGGCGGAGCGAAGCTGCATCATACCCGTATACCTCGTGCCTCGGAACAGCCTGTACAAACGGTACAACAAACAAATAAACAAACAAGCAAACAGATGGTCATCAGAATGAAGAGCACATACCTGAAAGTTCAGAATGGAACTTTAGGAGCCGAGTTGAGGGAGCCGGGACCGGGAAACAACTACTACTTCCCTCCACCAGCCAGTCTTTAGTAGGAGTCTTCGCGTTGCAGAAAAACTTCCAGTTCAGTCTCCCAGTACATCTGGTGCAGCTGTAGTGTTGGTAGAAATAAAAGAGACAAAGACGCACATTAATGAGAAGTACAAGATGATTCACCCTGTACTGGGTTAACAAACTAGAGCATGTACAAGGTACTGGGAGATTACATAACATAGACGTTCACTCATTCCCTCATACCATGCCAGTAGTCAGCGGACCATTAATTTACTCATCCATCCATCCACTCATCCATCCATGCATCCATTGGCTCACTCATCTATTTACTCACTCATTCATTCACTCGTTCATTCACTCATCCACTCCTTCGTTGGTTCCTTCATTCTCTGATGCCAAAAAACGACCCTGACCAAGTGTCAGACCGTCCGTCTATGAAACTGGGGCGGTCCTGAAACAGGGAAAAAACAAAAGCATGAAAAACACAAACCAGTTTAAGTTTTATACTATAAATCCATATGTGAGCATTTTAGACATATTTTAAATGTTTTTGCTCCTCTCTTAAATATTGAAAACATGAAATGACTGCAAACAGATTTACCCTGGGTATTAATAAATAAAATGAAATGAAATAGAGACTTCACCTCAGATGAAATGTTTGTGTGTGCGATGAAAATAGAGTGACAACATAGCCCATGTTTTGTGTTGTAAAATGCTTTATTCAACAAAGTTTTGCATATAATACAATACAATACAATGGATTTGCACAATTGAAACAATTTCTTATTCTGAGAACCTTCCCATCCTTTTAAAACATCAGAAGAGACGAATTTCACAAAAGAGTGACAACATAGCCCATGTTTTGTGTTGTAAAATGCTTTATTCAATAAAGTTTTGCACTATGTACAATACAATAAATTCCTTAACATTTCCACAATTGAAACAATTTCTTATACTGAGAACCTTCCCATACTTTTAAAACACCAAAAGAATAATTTCACAAAGCTAAGTTGTGTGTGTGAAAGAAAGAAAGACAACATGGCCAATGTTTTGTTTGTACTGCAAAACACTTTATTCAATGTACTTTTGTACAATGTACAAATACATATTGAGCATTATGAACAATGTCTATCTCCATAACCTTTACATACGTTATAAAACCTTAAAACATTTTGAATGTTTTAGAGACAATTTGACTAATACAGACAGTAGAAAGATAGGATATAGTAACGTTGGGGGGAGGGGCACTAAAAAAGACAAGCGCTACAATTACACCCATAAGGCACCCCGGGGGTTCGGCACGAGCCTAACAGACTTTATATCATTATTTACAAATTACTGCTTAACATTTATCAGTACCCCAAAACTACCCTCCATTCCCAGATGGGGCAAACGAAAAGCAAAACCATGAGTTGGGCCTAAACTCCAGAAAACTAGATAAGCGCCAGACCCCCCGCGTTTAGACATGGGAAGAAAAGTAACGTTAGTACACGAAATTCTAAACATCTACCTAAAAAATCTTAGAGTCTATGATAATCCGCCCAATTTCTAAGAGTACTGAGGTCTTAGAAATTGAATGGATTTTAGTGGTGTCAATTCACGTGGGTTCAAACATACTATATAGTACATATACAGAATTCTATCGTTTTTGTGTGCGTGTGTGCGAGTGATTGCGAAAGAAGGACACTTGGTTGTAGTGTAGTATTTTTTTTTATGTACTAAAATATCTCAAACCGCGCTGCATGTACGGTGGGCTTCATACTCGAGTCGACGTCCAGGGTTTTCGCGAGTTACTTTTATACAACGCACGGGTTAAAACTATACAACGTTTACATCTATACCACGCACGTTTTACAACTATAACAACGTCGCGAGATGCCCCTTTTCGTTGCTAAATCAGTAAAGTGACTTCCCAACGAAAAGATAACTCGATGTGAATCTTTCTGAAAAAGATTCACATCCGCGCACTGCAAGCAATATACAAAAAAGCACAAATTACAATAGAGCATTAATATTCAAAAACAACCACGTGAAATGCTACCACTAAAGCTAACCTAACTTCACAAAATTTCTTACTTTTTCACCCATTGAATTCCATGGAGTAGATTTTAGGAATTCTATGGATGTTGACATGGCATGTGGTAGATATATTCATACAACAAATAAAACATACTACAACGCTTTCGGGCCGCTAGCGCCGCGCAGGCAAGTCTCAAAAAGAAATTTCGAATTACACTTATACAACGCACGAATTTTACTATATACAAAACGCACGAGTTACTTCTATACAACGCACGAATCTTTTCGTTGCTAAGGCAATATTTCCTGCTTTCCCAACAGAAAGATTGTAGATGTAAGACTTGCCGTGGAGCACCTTTAAATTTACATCCGCGCATTGCAAGCGGGGGAGGGGGAAAAGCAAATCTTTACACGAGGTAGAAAAGTAAGAGAAACGCAAACTCACCCCCGCCATGTTGGAAGCAAAAAAAAGAACGCGACTTTGAAAAACACCCGATTTACACAACTATATAGCCTGACTTCGGACTGTTCCATTTGTTTCTACAAATAACGTCACACCAATACAAATTGTTCATTTAACTGCCCAAACGGTGACTTAAGAATCACTTTCCTGATTTTTAAATTCTGTGCAACAAGTATTAAAGTATTAAATGTGTTACATGACAAACCTACATTA